CCAAGTGAAGTTTGGAGGGACTTGTGGAGCTGGGGGGACCTGTGGGTGGGTAGTGGCTTGGAGATCTCCCTCTGGGGGTGTAGGGACCGGGTTTCCTTCTTGGGGAGGAGCTGGTGTTTCTCAGGCTCAATTGTGTCCTCCTGCCTTGGCAGAAGCCGTCGGAGAAGAAAGAAGAGACAGCAGTGGAACTTTGAGGCAAGAGCGAAGAAGAGGAGCAGCAGCATCGAGCTCAAGAGGGGGCACGACAGGGACCCTCTGGGCAAATGCACCTCCCTGGCCCCCCCCGGGCAGGGATCCGTAAGAGTCCGGCGGGCACCTTCAGGGTGCCCCGGCTGGCTTTGCGCTGGGCGACCTCCCTGTAAGCAGGGCTGGGTCTTTGCTTTGCTTTGCTGGCCTTTGGCCATGGCGCTCCTTTGGCTGCCTGGAGAGAGGGGCAACCCTGTAAGGAGGGTGAGAGCCCCCATCTCCTCACCCAAGGGGGGAAACGGAGCTCTCCCTATCCCCAGCCCGCCCTGTAAGCAGGGCAGGCCTTTTCCTGACCCCCAGCCTGCCCTGTAAGCAGGGCAGGGCTTTTCCTGACCCCCAGCCCGCCCTGTAAGCAGGGCAGGGCTTTTCCTGACCCCCAGCCCACCCTGTAAGCAGGGCAGGGCTTTTCCTGACCCCCAGCCCGCCCTGTAAGCAGGGCAGGGCTTTTCCTGACCCCCAGCCCGCCCTGTAAGCAGGGCAGGGCTTTTCCTGACCCCCCGCCCGCCCTGTAAGCAGGGCAGGGCTTTTCCTGACCCCCAGCCCGCCCTGTAAGCAGGGCAGGGCTTTTCCCCCTGGCACCTTTGTGCCTGCTTATGGCCCCTGGCCAGAGTGACCCCCTGTAGCTGGGGCGTGTCACGGCCTTGGTCCCTGGGCCAGTTGTGAAGCCCCTCCGTGTGCTGAGGCCCCGCTGGCCTCTGCAGAGCCCGGGGCAGGGCTGAGGCTCTGCTCTCCTGCCCAGAGGGAGGGATGGCTCCCCACGCGTTGGCTGCACAGAGCCTGCTCCCTCTTCTGGGACGTTCCCCCTTTGTGTTTTTGTCTTTGTCGGTGTGAGTGAGCAAGCAAGTGAGCTTGTGTTTTATCCCCCCTAGCAAAAGTGAGGCTAGTGTAGCTTAGACTTCCCAGGAGGGAAAGAGGGGCTCTGTGCAGCAGCCGGGGGGTGCCCTCTGAACCCACGGGTGGAGACAGGGCCCAGCCTTGCCCCTTCTTCCCCAGGACAGAGCGAAGCCCATTAGTGGTGGTGCAGGCACCGTGACCCGCCTGTAGCCAGGGCCTGGGCGTGTGCCTGCGCTGCGGGGCTGCCTGTCCTGCTGGTGATGTGCCAGCGTGATCCCCCCCCGGCCTTAGGCCGTCAGGCCACTGTTGGGAGTGCCGGGCCTCGGGGGCGGCCCTGTAAGTGGGGCTTTGTGCGTCCCCCGTGCCCGGCGGGCGGTTGGAGGGACCCTCTGTAACCAGGCGGGTGTCCCGTGGGGTCCCCACCCTTTCACAGGCGTGGGGCTGGGCGTGTGCCCTCCCTGTCCTCGGGGGAAGGCCGAGCTCCGTGGCTCCCTGGGTGTGAACCCGCCTGTAAGCAGGGTCCGGGTCTGGGAGCCTTTGTGCTCCCTCAGCTTGCAGCCTGTGCGGGGCGACCGCCCCGTTAGCGGGGAGCGGGTCAGGTGCCCCCGAAGCGGAGAGAAGGAGCCTCCGCGAGCCTTTGGGCCCAGGGCTGCCCTGTAAGTCGGGGCCAGTGCCCTGGAGTCCCGGGCACTTTGTGCTCCAAGCAGCGGCCGGAGCCCCCTGTAAGCAGGGGTGCAGCCTCTTTGGCCACTGCTTTGCCTGCCCAGCTGCCTTTGCCCAGAGGGCCCGGCTCCCAGCAGCGGATGGGACTGCGTCGCTCTGGTGAGACCAAGTGAAGTTTGGAGGGGTTTGTGGAGCTGGGGGGGCCTGTGGGTGGGTAGTGGCTTGGAGATCTCCCTCTGGGGGTGTAGGGACCGGGTTTCCTTCTTGGGGAGGAGCTGGTGTTTCTCAGGCTCAACTGTGTCCTCCTGCCTTGGCAGAAGCCGTCGGAGAAGAAAGAAGAGACAGGACTGGAACTTCGAGGCAAGAGCGAAGAAGAGGAGCAGCAGCGTCGAGCTCAAGAGTGGACCAGCGAGGCAAGAGCCAAGGAGAGGAACAGCAGCGTCGAGCTCAAGAGGGGGCACGACAGAGACCCTCTGGGCAAAGGCACCTCCCGGGCACCCCCCGGGCAGGGATCCGTAAGAGTCCGGCGGGCACCTTCAGGCTGCCCTGCTGGCTTTGCGCTGGGCGACCTCCCTGTAAGCAGGGCTGGGTCTTTGCTTTGCTTTGCTGGCCTTTGGCCATGGCGCTCCTTTGGCTGCCCGGAGAGAGGGGCAACCCTGTAAGGAGGGTGAGAGCCCCCGTCTCCGCACCCGCGGGGGGAAACGGAGCTCTCCCGAACCCCCAGCCCACCCTGTAAGCAGGGCAGGGCTTTTCCTGCCCCCCAGCCCACCCTGTAAGCAGGGCAGGGCTTTTCCCGCCCCCCAGCCCACCCTGTAAGCAGGGCAGGGCTTTTCCCGCCCCCCAGCCCACCCTGTAAGCAGGGCAGGGCTTTTCCCGCCCCCCAGCCCACCCTGTAAGCAGGGCAGGGCTTTTCCCGCCCCCCAGCCCACCCTGTAAGCAGGGCAGGGCTTTTCCCGCCCCCCAGCCCACCCTGTAAGCAGGGTAGGGCTTTTCCCGACCCCCAGCCCACCCTGTAAGCAGGGCAGGGCTTTTCCCCCTGGCACCTTTGTGCCTGCTTATGGCCCCTGGCCAGAGTGACCCCCTGTAGCTGGGGCGTGTCACGGCCTCGGTCCCCGGGCCAGGTGTGAAGCCCCTCCGTGTGCTGAGGCCCCTCTGGCTTCTGCAGAGCCCGGGGCAGGGCTGAGGCTCTGCTCTCCTGCCCAGAGGGAGGGATGGCTCCCCACGCGTTGGCTGCACAGAACCTGCTCCCTCTTCTGGGACGTTCCCCCTTTGTGTTTTTGTGTTTGTCGGTGTGAGTGAGCAAGTGAGCTTGTGTTTTATCCCCCGTAGCAAAAGTGAGGCTAGTGTAGCTTAGACTTCCCAGGAGGGAAAGAGGGGCTCTGTGCAACAACCGGGGCGTGCCCTCTGAACCCACGGGTGGAGACAGGGCCCAGCCTTGCCCCTTCTTCCCCAGGACAGAGCGAAGCCCGTTAGTGGTGGTGCAGGCACCGTGACCCGCCTGTAGCCAGGGCCTGGGCGTGTGCCTGCGCTGCGGGGCTGCCTGTCCTGCTGGTGATGTGCCAGCGTGATCCCCCCCCCGGCCTTAGGCCGTCCGGCCACTGTTGGGAGTGCCGGGCCTCGGGGGCGGCCCTGTAAGTGGGGCTTTGTGCGTCCCCCGTGCCCGGCGGGCGGTTGGAGGGACCCTCTGTAACCAGGCGGGTGTCCCGTGGGGTCCCCACCCTTTCACAGGCGTGGGGCTGGGCGTGTGCCCTCCATGTCCTCGGGGGAAGGCCGAGCTCCGTGGCTCCCTGGGTGTGAACCCGCCTGTAAGCAGGGTCCGGGTCTGGGAGCCTTTGTGCTCCCTCAGCTGGCAGCCTGTGCGGGGCGACCGCCCCGTTAGCGGGGAGCGGGTCAGGTGCCCCCGAAGCGGAGAGAAGGAGCCTCCGCGGGCCTTTGGGCCCAGGGCTGCCCTGTAAGTCGGGGCCAGTGCCCTGGAGTCCCGGGCACTTTGCGCTCCAGGCAGCGGCCGGAGCCCCCTGTAAGCAGGGGTGCAGCCTCTTTGGCCACTGCCTTGCAGCTGCCTTTGCCCAGAGGGCCCGGCTCCCAGCAGCGGATGGGACTGCGTCGCTCTGGTGAGACCAAGTGAAGTTTGGAGGGGTTTGTGGAGCTGGGGGGGCCTGTGGGTGGGTAGTGGCTTGGAGATCTCCCTCTGGGGGTGTAGGGACCGGGTTTCCTTCTTGGGGAGGAGCTGGTGTTTCTCAGGCTCAATTGTGTCCTCCTGCCTTGGCAGAAGCCGTCGGAGAAGAAAGAAGAGACAGCAGTGGAACTTTGAGCAAGAGCGAAGAAGAGGAGCAGCAGCGTCGAGCTCAAGAGGGGGCACGACAGGGACCCTCTGGGCAAATGCACCTCCCTGGCCCCCCCCGGGCAGGGATCCGTAAGAGTCCGGCGGGCACCTTCAGGGTGCCCCGGCTGGCTTTGCGCTGGGCGACCACCCTGTAAGCAGGGCTGGGTCTTTGCTTTGCTTTGCTTTGCTGGCCTTTGGCCATGGCGCTCCTTTGGCTGCCTGGAGAGAGGGGCAACCCTGTAAGGAGGGTGAGAGCCCCCATCTCCTCACCCAAGGGGGGAAACGGAGCTCTCCCTATCCCCAGCCCGCCCTGTAAGCAGGGCAGGGCTTTTCCTGACCCCCAGCCCGCCCTGTAAGCAGGGCAGGGCTTTTCCTGACCCCCAGCCCGCCCTGTAAGCAGGGCAGGGCTTTTCCTGACCCCCAGCCCGCCCTGTAAGCAGGGCAGGGCTTTTCCTGACCCCCAGCCCGCCCTGTAAGCAGGGCAGGGCTTTCCTGACCCCCAGCCCGCCCTGTAAGCAGGGCAGGGCTTTTCCTGACCCCCAGCCCGCCCTGTAAGCAGGGCAGGGCTTTTCCTGACCCCCAGCCCGCCCTGTAAGCAGGGCAGGGCTTTTCCCCCTGGCACCTTTGTGCCTGCTTATGGCCCCTGGCCAGAGTGACCCCCTGTAGCTGGGGCGTGTCACGGCCTTGGTCCCTGGGCCAGTTGTGAAGCCCCTCCGTGTGCTGAGGCCCCTCTGGCCTCTGCAGAGCCCGGGGCAGGGCTGAGGCTCTGCTCTCCTGCCCAGAGGGAGGGATGGCTCCCCACGCGTTGGCTGCACAGAACCTGCTCCCTCTTCTGGGACGTTCCCCCTTTGTGTTTTTGTGTTTGTCGGTGTGAGTGAGCAAGTGAGCTTGTGTTTTATCCCCCGTAGCAAAAGTGAGGCGAGTGTAGCTTAGACTTCCCAGGAGGGAAAGAGGGGCTCTGTGCAGCAACCGGGGGGTGCCCTCTGAACCCACGGGTGGAGACAGGGCCCAGCCTTGCCCCTTCTTCCCCAGGACAGAGCGAAGCCCGTTAGTGGTGGTGCAGGCACCGTGACCCGCCTGTAGCCAGGGCCTGGGCGTGTGCCTGCGCTGCGGGGCTGCCTGTCCTGCTGGTGATGTGCCAGCGTGATCCCCACCCCCCCCCTCCGGCCTTAGGCCGTCAGGCCACTGTTGGGAGTGCCGGGCCTCGGGGGCGGCCCTGTAAGTGGGGCTTTGTGCGTCCCCCGTGCCCGGCGGGCGGTTGGAGGGACCCTCTGTAACCAGGCGGGTGTCCCGTGGGGTCCCCACCCTTTCACAGGCGTGGGGCTGGGCGTGTGCCCTCCCTGTCCTCGGGGGAAGGCCGAGCTCCGTGGCTCCCTGGGTGTGAACCCGCCTGTAAGCAGGGTCCGGGTCTGGGAGCCTTTGTGCTCCCCCAGCTGGCAGCCTGTGCGGGGCGACCGCCCCGTTAGCGGGGAGTGTGTTAGGTGACACAGAAGCGGAGAGAAGGAGCATCCGCGCGCCTTTGGGCCCAGGGCTGCCCTGTAAGTCGGGGCCAGTGCCCTGGAGTCCCGGGCACTTTGCGCTCCAGGCAGCGGCCGGAGCCCCCTGTAAGCAGGGGTGCAGCCTCTTTGGCCACTGCCTTGCATGCCCAGCTGCCTTTGCCCAGAGGGCCTGGCTCCCAGCAGCGGATGGGACTGCGTCGCTCTGGTGAGACCAAGTGAAGTTTGGAGGGGTTTGTGGAGCTGGGGGGGCCTGTGGGTGGGTAGTGGCTTGGAGATCTCCCTCTGGGGGTGTAGGGACCGGGTTTCCTTCTTGGGGAGGAGCTGGTGTTTCTCAGGCTCAATTGTGTCCTCCTGCCTTGGCAGAAGCCGTTGGAGAAGAAAGAAGAGACAGCAGTGGAACTTTGAGGCAAGAGCGAAGAAGAGGAGCAGCAGCGTCGAGCTCAAGAGGGGGCACGACAGGGACCCTCTGGGCAAATGCACCTCCCTGGCCCCCCCCGGGCAGGGATCCGTAAGAGTCCGGCGGGCACCTTCAGGGTGCCCCGGCTGGCTTTGCGCTGGGCGACCTCCCTGTAAGCAGGGCTGGGTCCTTTGCTTTGCTTGGCGTTGGCCTTTTGCCTTCGTGCTCCTGTGGCTGCCCGGAGAGAGGGGCAACCGCCCTTTAAGGAGCGTGAGAGTGCCCGCCTCCACGCCCGAGGGGGGAAACGGAGCTCTCTCGTCCCCCGGCCCGCCCGCCCCGTAAGCGGGGCAGGGCTTTTTCCCTTGGCACCTTTGGTGCCTGCTGGCGGCCCCTGACCCGAGTGACTCCCCGTAGTCGGGGTGCGTCATAGCCTGTGTCCCTTGCCCCTCAGCACGCTGAGGCCCTTCTGGCCCGTGCGCAGCCTGGGGCCACTAACGGGCTTCGCTCCATCCTCGGGAACAAGGGGCGAGCCCGAGGCTCTCCTCCCCTGCTCGGCGGCAGGGCCGGCTCCCCACGGCTTGGCGCACAGAGCTTGCTCCCTCTTCTGGGACGTTCCCCCTTTGTGTCCTTGTCCCGTCGGTGTGAGTGAGCGAGCGAGTGAGCTGGTCCCTCCTGTAGCCCCCGCAGAGATGTAGGCAGTGTAGCTTAGACTTCCCAGGAGGGAAAGAGGGGCTCTGTGTGCCAACCCGTGGGGAGCCAGCCCCGCCGCCGAGCAGGAGAGGAGAGCGTCGGGCTCGCCCCCTGTTCCCGAGGACGGAGCGAAGCCCATTAGTGGCGCTGCGGGGCCGCCCGTCCTGCTGGCGATGTGCCAGCGTGGGCCCCCCCCCCGTCCTCGGGGCTGGGGCCCTGTCCCCGCCGGCCTTAGGCCGCAAGGCCCTTGTTGGGAGTGCCGGGCCTCGGGGGGGCGGCCCCCTAAGTGGGGCTTTGTGCGTCCCCCCTGCTCGGCGGGCGGTTGGAGGGACCGCCTGTAATCAGGCGGGTGTCCCGCGGGGTCCCCTGGCCTCTCACGGGCATGGGGCTGGGCGTGTGCCCTCCCTGCCCTCGGGGCCCAGCTCAGGGCCTTAGGCCACGAGCCCCAGTGCCTGGCCCTTGAGTCAGGTACTTGATGCCGCGGGGGAAGGCCGAGCGGAGAGAAGGAGCCTCCGCAGGCCTTTGGGCCCAGGGCCCCCCTGTAAGTCGGGGTCAGTGTCCTGGTGTCCCAGGCCCTTTGTGGTCCAGGCAGCGGCCGGAGCCCCCTGTAAGCAGGGCGGCAGCCTCTTTGGCCGCTGCTTCGCATGCCCAGCTGCCTTTGCCCAGAGGGCCCGGCTCCCCGCAGCGGGTGGGACTGCGCCGTGCATCGCCGTGGTGAGTCCAAGTGAAGCTTGGAGAGTTTTGTGGGGGGAAGTGGGGGGGCCTGTGGGTGGGCGGGGAGGGTCTTGGAGATGTGCCTCCGGGGGCGTGGGGTCCGGGTTGCCTTGGTACGGAGGAGCTGGTGTTTCTCGGGCCCACCTGCCTCTTCCCGCCCTGGCAGAAGCCATCGGAGAAGAGAGCGGAGCGGGCTTCCAGGGCACTCCTTGCAGGGGTTGTGTTTAAGGGAAGGGCAGGGGAGCCTTTCTGTGGCCCAGAGGAGCTGCAGTTTTCTTTCTTCCTCTCTGGAGGACTAAAAACTAAAAAAATAAAAAGCAAACGAGAAAGAAAAGAAAAGGGAATGAAAAATAAAGAGCATAAAAAATTAAGGGAATGAAGAAGGAAAGAGAAAATACAAAAGAAAATTAAAAGAAAAAAATTAAAATCGGGGAAACTTAAAAGGCAATAATATAATGAGAAGTGAAATGAAAGGGAAAAACAAGCCTTCTTGGGCACCCCAGGGTTTCCTCCCCGCTCCGCCCTCCGCCCCGTAAGATGGGGGTCACCCCTAAGCTGTGAGAAGGGGACCGCAAAAGGTGGGTGGGGGAAGCCTAGGGAGCCGAAAAGGCAGTGGAGGGCGAGCGGCGAAATGTGAGGGAGGAGCCCCGGAAAAGCGGGCGAGGCGCGCGCAGTAAGAAAGCGAAGCTGGGCGGTCGGTCGGCGGGGTGGTGGGAAGCCAGGGTGGCGACGCCGGCGGATGCGCAGTCGTTGGCAAGACGCCGGCGATCACGTGGTAAGTAAGGGCAGCCAGGAGAGGGACCGGCGACGCATGCGCAGTGGCTCTCGTGCCGGTGCAGCGCTCCCCGCTCGAGTTAAGGGCCGGTTCCGGCGGCAGGGCGGGACTCGCGGCCTCCCGTCTCTCCCGGGGTGTGTGTGGGGGGAATAACATGAAGATTTTTTGGGGTGAAAGCGCTGAAATTAGCGAGGAGGGACGCTAATTTGGGTAAACTGGGTCACCGGAAGTAGAGAGCGACCGGAAGTCCTCCAAGGCCCCGGCGCGGAAGTCCGCCAAGCCCACAGTAAAGATGGCGCCGCCAGGACCGGATCGACCACACTAAAGATGGCGGCCCCGGCCCGGAAGTTCGCCCCGACGCCACACTCAAGATGGCGCCGCCACGACCGGAACTTAGCCGAGGCCACACTAAAGATGGCGGCGAGAGGCCCCCTCGCCTCAGAGAGGCGTCTATCCTGTTGCCTGACCTCCGCCGCGACCGGGACCCCCGCCCCGCGCCCGCAGCGCCGTCTCGCCGCGCCGCTTCCCGCTGTGGGGACAGGGCGGGGCGCTCGGCGGCGCCGGGCGCGGGCGGCAGGTTCGTAGGCGGCGGCAGGCACCGGCGAGGGCAGCCCCCATCTCGGGGCCGCGGCACGCGGCTGACCGCGAGGACCCCCAGGCGAGCACGTTCCGCTCCGCTCCCGTCCCCGCTCCCGCTCCCGCCCCGCTCGGTCCCGCAGTGCCCTGGAGATGCTGTCGGGGCTGCGCCGCCGCCTTCCCCCCCCGCAAGCGACCCACGGCGGCAGATCCGACGGAGATCGTCCCCGGGGTAAGCTGGGCGCCGCGGGGGGGGGCGCGGCCGCTCTTCTGCCTCTCCCGCGCCCATCGGCGACTGCAGGCAGGGGAAGCGACAGGCAAGTTTCCCGCCTCTGCGGAGAAACTCGCACCTGCGTGCCGCCGCAGGGCCGGGTTCGGATGTGCCCTGGCATTGCACACGCACCACACCCCCCCGCGGGGAGGGTCTGCGCTGCCTCGGGGACCCTGTCTGTGCTGCCGGGAGAGGGAAATCCTTTGGGAAGCTGGGCTGGAAACAGCAACTCTGTGAACTGCTCAGCTTTTCC